AGTCACTCGTCCTTTATTTCCTGTTAGACTTCAAATTACAACGAGACTATCTCCATAGCACTGGACATTGGCCCGAACGAAGATCTCACATTTGTACCCGTCTTTCACAATATCGACTGAGAAACTGTAAAATCAAACAGATTAGACCATAGTTAATTGAGTGGAATGGTTATGAAACCCGTCAGACTCCTTTGTTATATGTTTTTGTGGACCTGAAAGTGCACAACGTTCAAAAGAATTCCTATCATTTTGATTGTATTGACCAATAAAAACGTTGCATTAATTTATTCCGTAACAATTTGCCAACAGAAAACAAAGGATTGTGCACTTTCACGGTGCTTTGAACATAAACTGCAGCACTGTTGTTTTTATCATTGATGTTTGCCGCTTTTCATAACCAGTCTCCTCTAATAACTATGATTAGACTGACCTTTGCAGAAAGTTAGTTCTCAAAATAATTTGTTTATGTTATTCAAGTGAGAGTCAAGTTCCGCAGAGCCTTAGGCAAGTTTTACTAATCGCCAAAGCTATCGATTGAACTTTTATGTTAGGGTTCCATGCGACAAGATGGCGACCTGGTTGTAGATTCTCTGTTTTCGAAGCGTTAACTTATTGGTGTTATTACAATTGACCGGTTTTATGGTTTGTTATTATACGGCAAGGGGAGATATAGCAATGCCACCCAAAAATCAACATCACAGATGACGGCCGACCATTTCATGAAACTTCCTGTCGGGAGTTAACACTGAAGTAGAATAGAATAGGTGATTAAAATTAATCCTTTTCGATTCTTCAGTGTCAAAGCATCCTCTGCATTGATCTTGAGGTGAAGAAGACATTCTTAAATTATTTTCACAACGAACGCATAAATTAGCCAATACAGTGCCCTCCTTGTCCTCTTTCTAGTCCGCAAAACAAAGAAAAAAAAACTAGACATCAGAAGGTGTATACTGGGCCGCCATAAAACCTAGACTAGATAGAAATTATGTATTGTATGAAAACGAGAAGTTTACTTCAGCAGGAAGTAACCCTGCTAAACACATTCCCATCCCGGACACCACCCCAACCCACGGGTCTCATTAAACTGTTTGAACTGAAACTGTAAAATGAAAATGATATATGGTCGATACAAAGCAAGATAGGTGGGTGTACCGTGTGGCACAAAATTCTTGTGGTTGTTTATTTTTGCGGTTTGGGCATTTTTTCTGTTTCGCGGAAACTAATTTTTGCGACTAGGTGTTATGAAGCAAGAGAGTAGCGTGATTGTAAGATGGCGTGAATTTACTCCTTTCAAACTTTGTGAGTCTCCCTCGTCTGTCAGATTTTACTCACGGATCGCGGGGTTAAACATTCGAAGTGTTCAATTGCATTAACAACATAACTGAGCGAAAGAGAACGTGCTGACAGATCGGATTAAAAGCTAAAGCTTATAGATTCAAGAAAGTCACGATTTCGTGTAGTGTGTGAGCGAGCTATTGTACTGTGAGGGTTGAAGCTTTGAAATAAACCCAGTTTTTGCTTAAAACTGTGATATCGTGAAGAACAGGACACATTGGGTTTTTTTTGCTGAGAATTAATTTTCAAAAAGTACCCAGAACCCAGCATTAACAATATTTTCGTTCTTGTTAAGTACGTGCAATCAGGATGTAATAGAAATACAGATTTTCAAACAGTACTACGGTATGCGTACATTATGTAAAACCAATTCATTGCCGTATACCGTTTTTGTTTCTGTATTGAAGACGTGAGTTGTAATTGAACAGACACGATTTCTTAGTGCTGTATTTTTAATACTCTGGAGTAAATTCTTGCGGGAAAAGTGTTTTCGTTAATTTTGGGGGGGAGGGGGGAAATAATTTTTGCGGATCGCTGGAAAAATCGCAAAAATCGTAAAAATTAAAAACTCGTGCCACACGGTATCTCTAGTTTATCTGAACTTTTTTTGTTTTAATGACAGCTTGTCTCTATATTTAGGAAAACAAAAAAAAAAATCGTCTCGTTCGTATCATAAAGAAAAGCTTCAGCGCATATGACATTTTCTTTAATCGCGTGCAATACCATTGAGCTGTAGTTAGAGCGGCGCACAGAGTTAAATTGTCTAAACTAAACCAACCTGGTTCAACATCGACAGAGTTTTTAAGCGAAGAAAACGGTTTTTTTAAATTTGTTATCAGTACTAATTTTTATACACTGCGAGCCGACCGGATGAAAATGAACTCATTCAATTTTTTGAATTATCATAGAAGGGACGTCTGTACACAGATAGAGTGTGCATAAGATGAAAGTGTTCATTCCGGAGGTCGTATATGGCGCCAGGAATGGCCTCCTGATGGCGCAGTCATAATTATGCTTTTGGCGTTAAATCAGCAATCTCATTGAAGATCGGTCATTCCTTGCCTGTCAGATTATGCCGGTATCATAGCGTTTACAAACAAGACCATTTAATTATTTCTCTTTCTAAACAGAATCAGTGAAAAGGAGCTAAAAGGTATATCGCATTATCTTTTTCTGTTGTATACATTAAAAGAATCAACAACAGTTTTATCTGCTTGGATTATAGTCATTATACTGCCAGTAATAGTGCTCAGAAATACGTTCCAGGTGTTCCTGTAATTTACTTGACACAACGAAAACACACGTAAACTTGCTAGTACTGTACATTCATATTTTCTAAAAACGTTTCTCAACAGTTCCTTTTGCCTTCAAGAACAATGGCTCTCAATACACACTTAAATTGCCAAGTTTAATTAACAAGTCCTTCCGTTTACGGTTTTCTGATTTCTATAATCCGGTCGAGCAAAGTAAAAATTGTTTTGAAAGAAAATTAGGCCGGCATGTCCGCCTTCAGTATAATGAGGGTCTAATCCGATGTTGTTTCAAATGGCAACATGGAAGCTTTTCATGCATCACTGGAAAGACAATTGTCTCAGAATGAGAGTAGTACAAGATCAGTGTGTGCTAAAATTTCTAATAATTGCTCGAGCGATGATTGTTTGGCTGCTAGAGGTGGCAACACCAACCTATGTTATTTTAAAAGGTTTGTCTAGGAGCGTTCTGAAACATACAAGGTTGTTTATATAGCCTCAAGAGAAAGGCAAACTTGCCTTTGAGAGTTGCCTTTTGGTTATGTTCTTGTGTTGTAAAATGAATAAAAAGAGAAAACTATAGATAATAATATCCTTAATAGTTTTTCTCTAAGCCCCGATTTTTTCCTTTTTTATACAGTCATTGTGGATATATCTTGTTCTGACTTCGACTCAGTGCCACTCAATTGTTTTCGTTTTTTCTTTATTTCTTATTTTTTACAGTTTAAGTAAATCACTCAAGTTTGACCTCTCGTTGATTAAAGAATTAAAGTCGCTGTATTTCTATCCCCAAAATAGATTACTTTTACCTCAGGTTTTTTCTCAATATTTATGATGGCTTTGAACGGTGGTGTATTTTTACCATTTTCGTAAACACGACGAGAGCCTCTTTCTAAAAAGCTACCGCTCATTTAGGTGGTGTTCAGTTGAAGCCAGGCCATTGTATTGGGTATTTTTTTAAAATGATTCTTAAATGAATTCTTTAGTTATCAAAAGGAATTTTAATTACCAATGTTATCTGGATGCTGAAAAAAAAAATCAAAAACGGAGGCTAGAAAGTTAGTTGTTTCAGGTGTTTTTTATAGTACGAAAGGTCTGCTTCAACCCCCACCTCACCCCTGGGAAACTGCCTACCTACCTCTCCCCTAAGCTTACATTAACACTTACCTCTCACTTAGGGAAAAATGTTGGCTTAAGGGAGGGGTAGGTGGGCAGATTCCCAGAAACTTATCATGATCCGCACAATCTTGGTTTTGAGAGGTTTACCAATTGACACCGTCCCTTGCTCTCATGTCATTCAGGTATCTCCTCCCGGGTATATATCTGTGCGAGAACCTTCACATGGTTATCGTAAACGTTGTATATATGCAAGTCTTCATCACCTTTCAGGGACCCACTTTGAAGCACGTGCACATGTTGAAGCTTATTGCATGAATTCGCCTATGGGCAATTATTACTATCCTGCGTAGCTGACGGAATTAGCCGGAGAATGCTGTGTATTTTTTTGGCGAGAAGGTTGAGAACAACTCACACGGACGCTGGCAAAAACCCCTTTCTCTAAGAAAGTACCCTAGGCATAATATTTTGAAGGGATGAAGGAAATGATCAGAAAGCGCTGAAAACTCGAAAACATTATTGTCCCATTATTTGTTGTTAGGAATTTAATATTTGCACTTTGACACTTTGACAATAAGTTATCTGCCAAATATCGAATTGCTCCTTATAGAACTTATCAATACAGTTTTTGTGGGAACCGACAGTTCTCAGACCTCCACGATGGAAAAGTAAAGTAAAACTATCTATTAAAATCTCTACAGAAAACATGCTACTATATAGTACTATAGTGCTGTAAGTCATTTTCTTATTTCCTGCTCTGCTTTCTTCTTTTCTCTTAACAGCGTTTACTCCATGGAGAGGAGGAGAAAAAACAGAACTGGTAAGAAATATTTGGACTACAGACTTCCTTTTGCGATAACGACAATCAGTAAATGCGATTGTCGGCTGAGTCACTCAAAGGGTGGAAGAGGTCACATGGGCGGGGAGGGTAAAGATCCTTTTTCGACTTCCTGTCTGGACGGTAAAAAAATGACTAATGCGAGACTAAAAAGGATGCAACGAAGGCTTTATTATTTTTCTTTTCAAACTCGACATTGTTTTCTCGCATTGTCTAACGGCTATGGTCTGCATAAAGATCATGCTTCGATCAGTTTGAAGTTCACCTTCAAAGCTACCCCTCTCCTAACACTCCTTCGTCGCACTCAACCCGCATAAGACATTCATACTTCTGGTGTTAATTGGAAGGTCATTACGTGAAAAAATGATCTGCTGATACGGTTTAAGTATCTAATGTTTGGAATAATTGATATCACTAAAAAAAATCCTTCAAGCTGTTGTTTTGATTTGGAAAATATGGCTATGGAATTTCCCACAGTGACTGCATCAAGTTCTTATGTTAAAACGCATTGCACTTCTTCGAAACAGGATTTCTATTCAGCTTGCCAAACAAACAAACTTACCGAGACATCTTTTTCCATCTCATGTACAGTTGCCGATATAAACGCTATCAATATCGTTGCGGCAAAAACATTTGAGAAGAACGACGATGAGGAAGAAGAGGAATTTGTAAAATATGGAGCTGTAGACGAGTTCTACGACTTGAAAGAAGAAATAGGAAAGTAAGTTACGACTCAGTTGACTTTTATGTAGCATGTATCAGCTGTGATCCTTGATATTGTGATATATATTATTGCTAACCCTAATAACTTTCTTTAGGATAAAAGCGGGAATCAAAAGTTAACTTTTGAATCGTTCTTTCTGACAACTCTCTAATGTAGACATTACTAAAAACTGTACTACCACCATATCAAAAACAGACACTTTCTCAGGTTTCTAAAGCGGGCACTTTGGTGCTGTCTCCGCCGGATTTCGTGTGACTGTAATTAAAGAGACACAACTGAAAAATGTAATTATAAAAATAGAACATAGATAAAGAGAATATCTGGGGTAGCCCCATACTACGGAGTTCCGAGAGTATAAAAGGCTCTGAGTAGCTTACAACCGTTCTTTTTTTGCGAATTAAACTTTAATTAAAGGTTGGAGAAATCTATATTTACGTACAGTGTGATTTGCGTTTATTACCCGGGGGAATCTTACATGAAATATACGGGGATGTTTGTCTCCCTTAGGGTGGTCAGGAAAAAAGGGGACTTTATTTCTCAAGTAAACATAGCTTAAGGTAACGCAATGTAACTTTACGAAAACGGAATGTCTTCATACGTTGTTGAATACAGCTTTCAATTTCAACATGTTTCGCGAAATTTAATCCCTACAGCCCTTAATTAGTTCCGGGAAGTGGTCGCCTGTTGGTACAATCTCTTTTACTTTGGGGGACGTATATTAAAAGCCTGAGACCTACCCCTACATTGGTAACGTTTCTCAGCTTCCTTTCAATTTGACGGCGCTTGGTTCTATTCATAGAGATATATTTTTAGCCAACTTTAAGTGATACCTGTATGGGAATGTGTAATGATTTGAATTTGTGTAATGATTCTGCGGAACAACCAAAAGCTGTAGTTTCTATCCTTAAGGGACAGGACGACTATCCGGGCCACTTTCATATGGGAATCCCCCGGGTGTTACTACAGAACTGAGACCGAATACCATAAAAACGATGACCCAAGCGACAGTTAGATTGTATCTTTGTTCTAGGAACATTGTAACAAATTTTATCTTAAAAATGCTAATTACAGCTTAAACTAGTTCACGTCACTTGAATTTTGGACATAATTGAAATTTGTTTTCATATTTGTAAATCATCCAAATGTCTGTCAACAAAACACCTGAAATTGTGCGATAAGGCATGGGTCGCACTTGGCAAATTTCTGGAAGAATTTGTTTACCTTGCGGTAAAAATCTGTCATCGGGACACATTGCCAAGTGCGACCCCAAGTTTTCAAGTTGGAAAAAACTTTGAGAATCGCGAAAAACATCAAAGACGCCGTAGTGCTTGGGTGGGGCAGGCAGATTTTGGAAAACTTGAGCTAAACAATAGGAATCACGGCGGGAAGTGTCAGCACTTGTCAGCGAAACGTGACCAATTTGAAACACGATCAATCGTTGAAATTTTCTGACCTTCGCGTTTTCGTTGTGGACGGACGAGGCTACCACTACTTTTCGCCATTTTAACGTTTTTGCGAAAACTTTCTACGGGCGAGCAATTCATAAGCTTGTAATCCTTCGCTATTTCAACGTTTTTACGGGAACTCTCTACAGGCGGGCCAATTATAGTCTACCCAGGCACCGTCACAGGTTTGTTATTCTCCGAGCTAAATGCAGTCTTTGCAGCCAAGCACTTTATTTTCTTTATTTCTCCCATCCTCCTGAAACTGGGAAAGAAGGAAAACGATCCTACGCCAAATGATCGGACTACGAAGAGATAATGTTCTATGGTATCTGGCCTACTTTAGTTCTCAATGTGTCAAAACAACGACAATTAACTCCCACTAGTAAATACTAGTGCGACCCTCCTCGATTTGACTAAAAGTTTTCTTTTCCGGTTGCGGTTTCGAATTTTCGTGGTTTTTTAGCCGGCAAAGATGAAAACTTTTCCCAAGTGCGACCTATGCCTTTAAGCTTTCATATCCTGAATTTAGACTTGATTTATTCAAAATAACGGCCATATTGATCAGTTGATCTTTAATTGTGCTTTTGTGCCCAGAAACTGTATCAAATGTTTACGTGGCGTAGTCATTTGACACGACAAGTTTACGTACGGTCCATCCCACGCCCCCAGTGATCCAGTTCAGTGGAAAGACAGTTTCGGGTATTAATGAAAGTTTATCATCTTACATGATCTTATAAGCCTCGAAAGAGCAGCGTACGACTCTTACTCTCTTTCACTCGGCATTTGGTTCTCAGCAGTATGTAAAGTTATTTCAACAAAAGAACGTTTTTACAAACGGGAAAAAAGTAGTTCAACTCCCACCAACATGGCGGCAGGTTTCATTTTCTTGGGGCCTTATTATGGCGAATGTGACCCGTTAAACCGCCGTAGTTAAAGAGACCTAAGTTATAAAGAGCTAAGTGAATTATGTTATAAATTTCGGTTTCTGTGCTTCGCCGGCCACTTCTCTTTAAATTAAGTAACAACGGCAAAAATTTTAAAAAAATATTATAAGAGCCACTATCGAAAGAGTCGAAATCGTTACAATGTTATATAAAGGTTGATAAATCCCAATAAGATAAAGCGCTTTACTGGAAAAGAATTATACAGTAAATTGTTTACGAAAATACATTTTTCCCTAGAGGTGCTTATGGAATAGTTAAAAAGTGTATGCACAAAGAAAAAAGAAATGTTTACGCAGCAAAAATCATCAAGACTTCCAGCCACACTATTAGGAAGACTGTAATGCGGGAGATTGAAGTCATGAGGACGCTGGGACCACACAACAAACTTGTGGAACTACTGGATGCGTATCAGACACCTTTTGAAATTGTAATGGTTTTGGAATTGTAAGTGTGCTTTATTTTATTACAGTATGTCTTGCCTTGCGTTTGTTTATAAATAAGTTGGGAGTGAGAGCGTTGCTCAAATCTGAACAGGGCAAATGGTGAGAAAAATTCAGGACTTCGAATTCAATACAGTTCATCCCCGAATTGCGTTTACCATTTGTGGATGCCATTTACGAAAGACGGCCGCGAATGCCTGAAGCTGATACCAAAAATGGCTTTGAACTGGCCTTTTCAGATGTATCCTCGCCCCCGAAAATTCATGTTCCATTTCTGTTATGTGTTCTGTGGTAAGAGCTCATTGTGCAGCTTTAAGAAAGTTTAGTATCCTTCCGTTCAGTTCAGTTTCCGGCATTCTCAATCATTGGAGAACCCATAGGTTAACGTCTACGGCAAACGTGAGATTCAGATTGACAATTGCTCGAATTAGGAAATGACGAGATGAAAACGGGCCAAAATATTCCTTATGAATCAACAACAATTTTGTGTAGGTATAAAGACAAGCAAACAAAAAGTAAAAGAAAAAGTTGGTCAAGTGGCAGAAACAGAGAGGTTGCCTTAAACGTGATTTCATAGTCAGTAGAGGAGATTGGTTATGAAAAGAAGAGAACATTAAAGAAAAAAAGCGGTGCTGAAGGTTTTGTTAGAAGAAACAAAAGTTTTTATTTGAAGCTCTCTGACAGGCGCAATCCTTTGTATTTTGCTGAAAAATTGGGAGCACATGTTTTACCTTTCTGGGAGACTGCCCACCTACCCCTTCCCTAAGCCGACATTACCACTTACTTCTCACTTAGGGCAAAATGTCGGCTCAGGGGAGGGGTAGGTGGGCAGTTTCCTAGAAAGGTAAAATGATCCAAAAATTGTGACGGAATGAATACATGCGGCGTTTTTATTGGGCAATAAGATCTAAACGATAGGAGTGCCATTGAACGTTGTGCACCACCAAATTCCAAGAAAACATAAAACCACCAAAGGAGTCTAACGGGCTTCATAACCCTGGTGATTCTAAATCTCTCTGTTGTTTCCGTACAGTGTCCCAGGTGGTGAATTATTTGAACGAATTGTTGCCGAAGAATACTTGATGGAAGACGATGCCGTAGATTACGTCAGACAAATCCTTGAAGCTTTACGATTCATGCACGAGAGGAATGTAGTTCATTTGGATCTTAAGGTGGGTGGAACAGATTTTCTGTCCCACTGAGCAACTGTGGTTTCCTTTTCGCTGACGATGAACTTACTCTCGCTTTTGTTCCTGCTATATCTCGAATCTTAGGCTCCATCCACACGTATCCGGACATTTCTGGAAACTGAGATTTTTTGTCCGTTTCAGCCTTCCGTTCAAACAAAAACGCCGTTTTCGGGCACCGAAAATGCAGGTTTTTTAAATACGGCGCCCAGAGTGGAGGTTTTTTGAAAACGCCAGCTTCTCGTTTACGTGAGCCTGACGGGCTAAAACGGGGGTTTTTAAATTCGATGAGGTCATACACACATACCAGTAGCATGTGCATGCTCTGTAAGGGATGCTATCGTATTTCCATCGTTCTAGCGTTTTCATATTGACGGGCGAAAACGGTTCAAATACGCCACGTGTGGACACACGACGGTTTTTCAAACAATATCTGGATACACGTAGACACCCTAGCCCTGACGGGTTAGCATTAGAAAATTGCTTTTAGAGTCAAAGTACTGGGCTGCGGTTTGGCTGATGAGTACTGGAGTCAAACCGCTGCTGAAAAACGCACCTTTGCTTTTGCATAAAAAAGTAGAACGCCATGCCGCCATTTGGCATCCATTCAAAGTCATTATTACTTTGTCGTACAAGTGGAAAATTGAATTCACTGTCTTGTTTCTTTGTCAGCCAGAAAACATTTTATGCGTAAGTATGGACTCCAAGGACATAAAGCTTGTGGACTTTGGACTCGCCAGGAATCTTACTACTGAGGACGACATTAAATCTTCTTTTGGCACCCCAGATTTTGTAGGTAAGAAGGTATTTAGAATATAGGTATTACCTCACTGATAACTATCTAACTGTTGTAAATAACTACATAAAATTAATGTAGAACCCGATAACTCGAACTCGGATAACTCGAACTCCCGCTAACTCGAACTAAGATCAATTTCCCTTGGATTTCACCCCATTTTCCACTGAGAAATTTTTACTCGGTTAACTCGAATTAGGATAACTCGAATTTCCCTCTAACTCGAAAGAAATTTGTTTTCACTGAAATTACCCCGATTATACTACTACATGAGAAATTTTTGCAATTTGATTGGCTTAGAGCAGTGGTATTTCAGTTTAATTTGAAATACCTACATGTGAAAATTACAAAACCTTTGCGGGTAGTACTATAAACAACTAAAACCATGATTTGTACGTGATATTTGGCATAAATACCACTCGTGATATTTCAAAATTGTCTCAAATTTCACTCGCCTAACGGCTCGTGAAATTACGTACAACAATTTCGAAACCTCACTCGTGGTATTTATGCCAAATATCACTACAAATCATGCTATTACCTATACTAACTCTGGCTCTGGTAACTCCACTCGGATGCCATATCCCATTAGCTCTTCTTGGTGTATAAGGGTAAAAGCAAGAAAACTAGACCTTGTCATAGTGGTCAACACTACTGACAGCAATTTGATTTTAATTGGACAGTTGCAACGAACAGGTCACTTTTTATGATAAAAAATGCCTACTCATGTTACCGTTTCTGACGAAATAAGTTCAATTTGCACCGCACTATTCATTGAAGCGCTGAACTATCAGTAACCATCAATTTTTTACATGGCAAATTGAACTTTGTATCGACCCCGATAACTCGAACTCTCGCTAACTCAAACTATTAGCTAACTATTTTTCGTTTCCCTAACTGAAGAGTTCGAGTTACCGGGGTTCTATTGTACAATACAATACAATACAATACAATATAATACAATATTCTGTATTTAACGAAGGTGACGTAATAACCCAATGAGTTATCTAACTTACGGCCTTCACAACAATACAATACACATATAAAAATAATGCCTAATCAGTAATATACGACTACAACAAGCAAAAAGCACAAGCTCTGGTGCGCAGACCAGTTGAGCGAACGGAAGACAAGAAATTGAATTTACTTTGAAGAAAAAGAGGAGCATCAGGATTATTAAGAATAGTGAATAAAAGTACAATTTTTTTAGTTTTATAAGGTCGAAAATAGGCAGCCGTTTGAGTTTGGGAAATAAGCTTACGGATGGTTGAGAGTAGTCGGCATCAAGGAGCAATCTAGCTACACGTTTTTGAAGGAGAAGAAGACGAGACAATAAATAATTGGAACAATTACCCCATGCACTCGAACAATAGATAAAGAGGTTATGAATACAAGAGTTGAAGAAACGTAGAGCACAGTGATGATTGAGAAACGGTTTGATCCTTCTTAAGAGAGACAGTCTACTGTTTACAATTGAACATATATTTTCAATGTGTTTAAATTGTAAATTGCACTAATAGACTCTGATCCGTATACTTCCTTTTGTGCACTATGAATGTACTTATCACTCTCTAGATTATCCGTTGCAGCACCCATCTTTAGGTAACTAGTTAACTGAAAACCAAAAGCGCTAACCGATTGTGCTAGAGACGATCAAGGAATAATATATCCACGAGCGCTCCATCGAGACAATGAAGACCGTGCTAGCATTTTAAGTAATCCCTTTTTTTATCACTCCTTCACTCAAAGTAAACTCAAAGCAAAATAATTCGTTTGCAATCTCCTTTTTTTGTTAATTGCGATAAACCATTTGTAGTTTTCTGTAAGTTTCTCAACTTTGTGCTTGTAAATTTATCTCATCTTTCTTTAGCTCCTGAAGTTATTAGAATGAAACCTGTGTCAACTGCGAGTGACTTATGGTAAAGCAGTTTCTGTGTTTCCGTTATCTTTGGAGCTATTAATTTCCAGTTTTTTTTTGTGTTAATCAGTTATCCACGTGGCTCTTAAATGATACTTTCTTTTTTTCCCTTTCTTTTTCCAGGAGCCTAGGCGTCGTCACATATGTCTTGTAAGTAGTATAATCGAATTGCTGGTTCAAATAAAATATATTTTAAATGTTTTGATAACTAGAGGTGTGTTAGGAATGTTGTATAGTTTCTTAACGTGCCCGTCTTTCTTTGTAGTCATGGGATTGCACACCATGGGGTTCGGTGTACAATGCTGCTGTTAACTCCTGTTCGTATTAATAGTGGATTTAAATTGTGTATGTCTCATTGAGTTCAAGCCTACGTTTATCAAACAACGATCTAAAACCTTTGGTGCACACTGATTTTAATTGCATGTATCCATTGATTCGTAAAACAGCAAAAGACTGAATTCCCCATCTTCATTTCGGGAGAATATTGTTGGGCGAATTTCCATGTTAGAATTGACTGGGAAATGTGTTGGTTTTTATTTCCTGCAGATTAAGCGGCCTGATGCCATTCTCTGGAGACGATGACCATCAGACGCTTGTCAAAGTAGCTAAAGCTGACTGGGATTTTGATGATGAGTGTTTTGATGATTTATCTCACGATGCAATGGAATTTATTGAAGGACTTCTTGTAAAGGATCCAAGGCATGTTTTAATAAAAATGACCTGTCCAAATTCGGGTATTTTCACTTATAACTTTAGCACCTTGACCAAACATGTTCAATGTGTTTTACCTTTACAACTAGCAATAGGCAATCGAAAAGATTCCTAGCATTGGTTTTGCTTTCTTTTTTCAAAAGTTTTCTTTCTGGAGCTATTTGTTTCTTGATGATGCATATTGGAACCTACTGACTACGGTAGATAGGTAATTTAGCGTAAAGAGCCTCAACTATGTGTTTCACCTAATTCTGCTTATATGGAGTTAGTCAGGCGTAACCTATTCGTCCGATTCCCTCGAGCTTTGGACAATCAGAATGCGGCATGAGTGAAGTAGCTTTCGGAAATATTGAAGTATTATCCACTGTTTCCTTTTCAGCAAGCGGTTAACAATAGAGGAGTGCTTTAAGCATCCGTGGATAAAGGTGTGTAAAAATCTATTACACCCCTCTTCAGTGGATCCCTATTTTTATGTGTTCATTTATCTATTTACTTTACTTTACGATAGGTTTAGTTTTTCAAGTTCAGCTGCCATTGTAGGATTTCTTTCTTCTTTCTCTTTTTTACCAGCAAAACCATGAAACAGGAACGAAAATCAACACACAAAAGCATAAGGCGTTCATGGCGAAGAGAAGGTGGAAGGTAAGCAGACACTGCAGTCAACTGATCCTTTAGCTTGCGGACCTTGCGAATATACAGCCATCTCTCACCAGGAACGTTTCGTGGGAGGACGTCGATCTGCGCCTTCACGACAGAAATTCAAAAGTGATAATGTAAAGCAATGTTGACATAAGTTTAACATCTTGTAGTCATGCGGTTCCACTTAGACTTTAAGTTTCTCCTAGTCTATTACCGGTATCTCAAAGGTTTGAGTTCTTCAGCAAACGAGCGGCAGCAAATTAAGCTCAAACACGTCGTCTAAAGAAGAATACATTCCACGAATAATGACTTTATTGTAGTAAATTCATCGCTTTTACATTTAACCTTTGTAACCTTTTGTCTTTTGTCTGTCGTCTGTAAACAACAGTTTAACAGATTTTACGTCATCAATTATCGAATTTTTGTCCTTAAAGCGCGGACTTTCCTCTCTTGAAAAGGCGAAAGTGGCCAAGAACCTGCACGCAGGCTGTTGATCGTCTTTTTCATGACATCTTTGAAGGTCATCATTGAAGTTAAAATAAAATACAGAGTAGCGTTAGTTATAGCTTCATTACCCCATGAATTAACCTGATGTGGCAGTAACTCGCGATATTTTTGGTTTTAATCATCTTGTATTGTGCACTCTAACATTAACCCTTAACGTTGTGATTTCATTTTCAGAAATCTGTACATGCTCTTTTGGCTGTTCGCCGCATGTCTCTGTCGCCTATTTCTGCCTCTAAGAGAAGACGTTCAATGGATCCATCTATATTAAAAACAACCTCAGAAAGCGAGGAAGATCAAACTGTGGACAGAAAGGTGTCAGCTCCACTTGATCCTTCGACATTACATATCTCGGAGCGTCGACGTGGAGATACTCGCAACTCTTGTTTTGATCTGAACATGGCAACTATTCAAGCTTTGCAAGCAAAGGCAGACAAGGCGATGGGAAAGGACTTGTCACAAAAGGAGGAAAATGAGCACGAAAATGAAAGTGATTCAGAGGATGAATATCATAATGAATACTCGGATAGAGATGATAACTGTACAGATAATGCCAATGAAAATGACATTTCCACATCTGAGTGCAATTCATCAAAACAAGTGTTTTCAAATAACCAGAGACCGAGGGCAAACACGGTTTGCGGAGCCAGTCCATCTTCTGAGTCTTCTTCTCAGCGTGCGGTGAGAAAAACATCGCAGATATTAATCAATGTTGGAAATACTTCAACAAATGATTTCAAACCAGTATCGTTTACTTTCAACACAGAGGAACTGCAGCGAAATATGCGACAAACTACACCCGCAAGAAGTGAGAATCAATTGAATTTAAATAATAACCACGAATTTTCCAGTGAGTTTTCACTGAAACAAGAACATAATCACATTACTGAGCAGCAGAGATTAACTTCACAGATGGATGAATCCTTCTTGGAAAATGGCCACCCCGAGGAAAACAAGCTTCCTAAAATTTGCGTGAATGACGAACTTATTTCCACAAGTCCTTCTCCTGTTTCGGTAAAATTAAACAACATTGAGAAACTTGACAGTGAGGAGTTGATTGGGAGAACAACCTCGCCACAGGCTTCATCAAGTTTAAACATTGCTGATGTCAGTAAGATAACCGAGAGTGTCCAGTCCATCACGGTAAAACTGGATAACTTAAATGGTGTACAATTCACACCTGGTAACGTGACATTTAGCGTGCGTCGGTCTTCCACTGGTTCAGCACCGTGTTAACTTTGCAAATAGTAATTTGTCGAGCCACGTAACCATGGTAGCAAAATTTCTGGAACTGAACACTTTTTTGACAGAGACTGCCATTTGCAGTGTCGAACGAGGGAAGAAAAGTGTAGGCTACCGTTTTGTTCCTGAGAGCAATCATACACACGAAAGTCCTGCATGTCAAGTTTTTCTTTTTTTAATGCAATATTTGCAAGACCATGGTTTGTTGAGATCCAGAAATTTTGCTACCATGGCAACGCCACGTAACGACTTCTCTCTATTATCAAGACATTGCCACCTATCTTTTTAAAAAATAAAACTTTTGAAATACCAGTATACGATTGTGCAGATAGATTGTTGTCTACTCAACACCTCTCCTAAGCAGAAACACATACGAACGCTACTTTTTTAGCCTCCCTCAAGCGCAAACAAGGCCTCACGAGATGGCTGAACACAGGTTGATAGGTTGTGGATCGTTGCCATTCATTAGGGGTGCAATTTAAGACTCGTTGAAAGTGTCAAGTCCAAATTTGGAGTCTTCTTGACAAAGTTAGTGTGCAAACTTGCGGAAAAAGAGCTACCATAGAATAAATTACTGATCATTGGAGAAGGGCTTAAAGACGGAGTAAGATGTGTAGGCTCCATGAGAGGTCGCCTCTTTGATATTGCATGCCTTAGGTAGAATAAGGAGGAAGCAGACACAAGATTGCTGCTTTATGCTAAATATGCAGCAACTGCAGAAACAAAAATCGTCTTCCATTCCCCATACACAAAAGTGCTTTTATTGAGTGCAGTTCATTTTGACCGTCTTGGCTGAGAGGAACTACGGCTTCGCTCTGGCGTGAAACTAATCGGCTACGAGTTATTCCTGTACATGAAATATCCTAAGCATTGGGCCAAGAACGTTGTGACGCTCTTCCTATAAAAAGAATCAGATAACAAGATCTAGACGAGACGACAGCTACTTAGTCCACCTAGCCGACTGATAAAGACGGGTGGAGAGAAGGGACGACCGGAAATACTTCTGTGTCCGCAGGCTAGAAACCACAAAATGCGACCTCTACGTCTCCTCAAAGCGAACACCAAAAAACGCGGACGAGCTGAGATACTTCATGTTTTGCCAAATGAAAGAGAAAAAGAAAAGAAGTTCTTCCATCAACGTCTGAAAGTCTGCGACAGTATATGAAGTGTGCCAACCAACAGATGAGTACGGTGACATTACCTTGATGTTATGCAAGATCTCGTTCTACCAGAGGGATATGGTTGGGAGATGACAGATGAAAATTTAACAGCAGTGTTGATGACAAAGTAACTCACAACCTGCCAGTGTGCAGAGTGCAGTACGAATCGTTAATGTAACACTGCAAATCTTTCCTTTTTGCATGGGAGACGCACTTTCAAAACTCCACATGACATATTTTTGTACAGCAGTGACTAAGAGGAAAGCGACTCAGATCAATCAATTCTTGAAAAACGGCATAAAGCAATAACGCAAAAGATATTCAGGGTATATTTTAGTGGATACTTCTTATTCACGAACTCGTTGACTTGAATATATAGCGAGTTTGGCGTCGCTCGCTCGGAGGAACTGGAGGTGGATCAGTGAATAGTGCAGGATATTCACTAATTGAGTAGAAAAACACTATCCACTGTTTTAGTATATACTAAACATAATTATTTGCAATTCTCCAAGGAAACACGATCAAGTAACAGTTATTCGTATAAATTCCAGACGCCCTTTAGCTCTAAGAACGCCCTTAAATTCTCCTTTTTCCCGAGGACCTCTAGGGAGTGGAATCAGCTCCCAGCTGTGGTAGTGTTGTCGCTATAGCTTTCAGTGTTCAAAGAGAAAGCGACTACATTTTTGAACAACAATTCAAACTAGCCTAGTCAATAATATGTATTTTTATTTATTTATTTTAACAGTTAGTGTGATGCCTCACCGGCTTTACTAACTTAATAGAGGTAAAAGTAAAGGTAAAAGCACGATTTTCATTTATAGTTCGTCCTCATGCCAGTCATGCGTGTCACATGGCTGCGTCAGCGTGACCAGTCACGTGACATTTTTTACTCCCAAAAGTATAACAAACTCCTTTGTTATATCAAACAGTGGGTCAGTTACCATTTTTAACGATTTTTTACAAAGAATTATGAAGTAAATTGTTTTCATGCTGGACTTTTGGATGAGTCACAAAAACATGCCGTTTACTCAAGGCCTACACCACAAATTCTTTACTCCTGTTTGCCTACTCCATACCAGCGATCCTGATATTGGCCTGCTTGGATTATCATCATTATATTGTTATAGTGCTAGGAAATACCTTCCAGGTGTTTATTGTAATTTACTTTACACAACGAAAATTACCTTGCAAATTATTAGGCTTTAATCAGGACGTCTTGTTCTACCATAATCCGCTATCAAACCTTTTCGGACCCGTGGGTTGAAGGAAACGACAATTTTCCGACCTCAGCTACTGGACTATCCGCCAGATTACAAGTCCAGCGCTATTACCAGTCGGACACGTTGCCTCCACGCGGTCTCCCTACAATAAATTGTCATCCCCACATATCTCAGGGGATTACGTGTCTATAATCTTCTTCGTGGGGATACTCGCAATTCTTGTTTTGATCTGAACATGCCAACAATTCTACACTGCAAAACAGTCTGTATTTTTGCGTATTTAAGTAGGCACGAGCAGTCAAACAAAAGGTCTGAAACGAGGCTGAAAACAGAGAGCGAGACTGCGGAGGGACGCAAAAAAGCCGTACGCTTTACCGATTTCTTTACTGATTTTGAGAAAAAAACCGACTGTTTTGCAGTCTACAACAATTCAAGGTTGCAAGCAAAGACAGAGGAGGCGATGGCAAAAGACTTTTCACAAAAAGAGAAAAGTGAACACGAAAATGAAAGTGATTCTGAGGATGAATACTCTAATGAAAGCTCGGGTAGAGATGATAACTGTGCAGGTAATGCCGATGAAAATGATGTTTCCACATCCGAGTGCATTTCAACGAGACATGTTTTATTTTATAATCAGACGGCGAAATCGAACCCGATTGGCGGAGAAAATGCAGAAAAACATATTGTCAATGTCTTTAAACCACAACTACCAGAAATGAAACTGAATTGGATTCATATTATAACTAGTAGTATGTGCGTTTAAATGCATACGTTTACGTTCGGAATTACGGTCTTTTTCAGTTCCTGATGCCTTTCGCAAGGGCTTACCTATCTTGAGTACTAAACAGTTTCCGAGAAAAATCCTTCGAAAAATGTTCCTTTATATTTCGAAGAAATTTTAACCGTATTGTTACTATTGTCATTTTTTCTAACTCTACCTTAGACTACGACATTTTTTTTTTTGTCATTAATGCGCACAGTCTGTAGCACGTGTATAAATGGACAGTTAGACTAGGGAGAAGGATCGAGCGTTTCACTCGCGGCAATCTATACATTTCGCTCTCTTATGTCTTTATGACTCAGTAACGAGAGGGAATCCAACTGGTTTAAATTCTAACTCTACTTTGACAGAAATAAAACTCCTGTCAAAAATTCATGAATACCCTAACAATTTAAAAATTGTTCCTTAAGCCCGGTTCAAAGGTCGCATCATATGTGCTGAATCTAATGTAAATGAGTGAGAACAATAGATTTTCCTCATTAGCATGAAAGTCGGTACATGTCGATACGTCGGACGTTTGAACCTGGCCTTAGTTGCTACAGGTGTGTAAGGTTCATACGAGGGCGAAGGAGATACATGTACGGACTAATTTATTTACATTTAAAATGGTTCTTAATGATAAGGCACCAATTCCTGGCTTAAACAGCGTCTAAACGCATTCTTTTAAGACTAAACTTTGACTATCCATAGACAGCGAGTATATAGAGGATATTACACGGTGGCGCAAAGATATGAATCTTATTTTCGAGTAGCAAAACAATATTTTACGAACGAGCGCAGCGAGTGAGTAAAATATTGTTTTTGCCACAAGAAAATAAAATTCATATCTTCAAGCCGCCGTGTAATGTAGACAAAGAGACATCGATAAAATAATAAAGGGAAATTACCGAAATTACGTCATCGATAAACTCACGTGTGAGATTATGGAACATAAACCACTCGGGTCCCGGATGTAGTTTTTATGAATTTTACAAGTGGTATATTTTCCAGTAAAACACTCGGGTCTACATAATTAAAGTAAAACATAAAGTTTAAAGGTTCAGTTCCCTGAAGGATTCTGTTAAATAGTATGTAGCAGGTAAACCGTAAGCTTCAATGAGTAAGTCTGCAAGTTCGGAGTCCTCTTCTTTTTCTTTGGTTCTTTGCGACGAAGCCATCTTCAACTCGAGATACTCCTCAATCTCCAGTTCTTCATTCAAGTGAGCTAACTCAGCAGCATTCTTTCCATCGGTTGTGACGATATTAACGTCAGCTTCGAGATCAACAAGTTTTTTCACGATTTTCAGATTACCATGGATCGCTGCCATGTGCAGGGGAGTAAACCCTTCAGCGTCCTGGGCGTTGACATTCGCCCCGGACTTAACCAAAAGATCGATTATCTCGGGTTCGTTGATTTGTTCGCTTGCAATGTGAAGAAGGGTCGTATCAGGTACTTCTTTAAACTGAAAGTCATACTCCTTAAGTATTTTGTCAGTTGTGCCTTCTGGAGGATCCTTTCCGAAACCACTCCGAAGAATATCACCAAAATCTGCCACCTTTATCACGCCTCCTTTCACGCGCTTCAGAAATAAGCCGAGTAAATGTTTCTTCACCAGGACATACTGCCAAGCTGCTCTACCGTTGTCTTTCCCTCGAACTAAGTAAAATCTTTTGGTAGAGTTTTCCTTGTATCCCATAGTTACATCAGCCTCGTTTTCAATCGAGAGTTTGATAAGCTGTTCATGTTTGTTCTTTGCACCAAGAAAAAGAGGGGTTCTTCCTTCTTTATTTTGAAGGTTGACGTTGCTTCCCTTTTTAATCAGAAGCTTGGTAATATCAAAAAATCCGTTGCTGACAGCTGTGTGCAGTGGTGAATCGCCATCAGCATTCTGACTATTTACTAACGCGTTCTTTTCCAGGAATAATTTGGCAAGGTTTTGGTTACCCTCTATCACTGCAAGGTGCAGTGGAGTACATCCATCAGCTTTAACGATATTAGCATCAGCTCCATGATCCAAAAGCAAGTACACTGCCATAAAGTTGTTCCAACCAGCAGATAAGATCAAAGGTGTAACTTTGTCATCGGTTCTTTGAGCATTAACGTTAGCACCGAGGTCGATAAGAGTCTGAATAAACTTACCAGAAGATGAAAAACTCGCCCACAACAAAGGTGTGCGATTGCACAATCCAGGGGTGTTTATACCCAGGCCATCATTTAATACAAGCTCTACCGCCTTCTCCGAATCATTACCGCGGCTACACTGGTGCAGCTCTGACAGTGTATTGACTTTTTCCACTGTCCTTCGGTAAAGGCTTTCAATTTTGTGATGACCAGGCCTTTTGGTTTCACTATTTGCGAGAGTATCAGCTACTGCTGTCATCATTATTTCTGAATGACTGAGTAGCGCGAGCGCCTTGAAAACAACGTCGTAATTCCCTTCAACGACAGCCGCTGTCAGCATGTTAAATCCCGACCGACTATCCACACTCAAGAATGCCTTTTCTGCAAGTGACTTTAACCTTGACTACAATAAAAAAGTTAGGGCGAGTCAGTGTAATTAACAGACCTGGAATCTGAATCTAAGTGAAAATACAACAATTGGAATTTTTCGTTTACCGAAATTCTGTAGTAGTAAAATAAAAATTAAACATTTAAAGAACACGACCGCGTATCAAGAAAAGCGACCTGAATTCGAAAACAATAGGTATTGTTCTGTATTGTTATTTTTTATCGTTTCTTGCCTTGTAAGGACAAACGTAAAACAATAGCTTTAAGCGCGGGAAATTTGAACATTTCCCATAACTTCTCTCCGATGACGTTAGCCCTTACCCTTTAATTTCAAAATCAAACTAAGTGCTTGCATGTGTTTCACCATAGAAATAAGCTGGAGTGTGTGTCTCGCTATTTTCCTTTAAACTTTGTAAAAAATGATTATGATATAACCAAAAAAAATGTATCAAAACTGGCGAAATCAGATAATATATTACATTAAGGTGCAATTAAATGCTATAAAAGGACTTATCTACTTTTGGATCAATTATTTGTAAAACAGCGACTATTCTCCTTTTTTGGCTCCTTGAATGTCCTTGTACGAAACAATTCTTTCCCTCAAGCACGTTTACGGGTCTAGATTTCTTGCTGTTGCTCCTTTCTCGAAACGAGAATTAAACCGACACAGCAACCAGTCAACCATTCACTGATAAACAGAATTCAAATAAAAGGAGGGGTAATTTTTACCCTTCACTTTCAAAGGATAACTTTTCATGATAATGAGACACTGAATTCTCTGAACAGTCTCTGCAAGTGCATTTTCCCTGGCCATATTGCTATTTTTAAAGCCTTCAAGGCTTCATATCTTAATTACTTTACTTAACACGTTGAATCTTAGTTGAATGAAAAGCTCTTCTTTTAATTTACCAAAAGGCACATCCTTACATGCAGTGTATTTTCCCTTTTCCCCGTAGTTGAAACGGCGAACAATAAAAGCAATGAATCGTTCCTTGTTAAATAGGAAAACTAACTGCTGCACTGGATAGAAGCCCAGCGTAATGCAAGCATCAAATAGAAACACATAGATACTGCAAAGGTAGTGAAGCAGGAAAAATGTAACAAACTCTAAAGTAAAGTTCTTTGATTGATAATATAATAAAGATAACATCGTGCCTCCTGCCCGTCTGCAGGAAAAACCCCCTTATCTACGGAGGAAACCTGAACCCTCCCGAAAGCAGAGCCAACACTTAACATGAACCTCGAGGGAGAGAGGTTGAACTAGAATACCAAACTACGAGTACATGAACGATGAACTACAATAAATTTAAAGTACACAAAAGGAAAAGGCATAAAAAACGAATTAATCAAGCAGCGATACGTCAGCTTAGAATGATTCACCCCAGTAAAATCCTGCCCTTTTATTCTTGAGTCTCTGTGACAGCTGTCAATGAGTTGAAACCGTGAAAACAATAATTTGCTGCTATTCTTAGAATTGCAGCAAATAACAGATATCTTACCGGTTGTTGGTAACTCGGCCTCGCATTACTATTCATGAGCAACTGCACTATTGAGTTATGATTGTGGCGTTCCGCTTTTTGCAGAGGGGTACGTTGAAACTAGAAAAAGCAGTGCAAATTGTACTTGTTATCCTGGTTATTAATGTATTATTCACAACACGCAAGAAAAAGAAGGACGAACGTCATTAAACAACTAACACAGGCGACTTAATTAATATTAAAACTAATGCAAGTAAATAGTTTTCCTGATGTGAAGCCAGATTATCATTAAAAGTGTTTCACTCTTATGAAAATTAATCGCCAAACACACTTTGGGCTTAAAATTTTTTTTTTCACTTCTTTCACTTTTTTAATAACTTTCATACATTAAAAGAGAAGAGATATAACTAGAATTTGAGATGTGACGCAGCGTTACAAAATGTGTTTTAACCAAACCTGAGTTGTTATAAAAGGTCACTTTCACATTGTAATGGGCTAAACAGAGCCAATATGTGTGACCTCAATTAATAAATCACAAATCTTGCTCTCCTAGCTTACAACAACACAATTTATTAAAAAACCAGCCTATTTATTCAAGGCCACAAACGTTTAAGCATCGATTGAACTCACCCTGTCTTCAGAATTGACGTTTGCACCGTGTTCTAACAACAGTTTGACAACAGATTCCTGTCCATACCAACAGGCAAGATGAAGAGGAGTCAAAGAAAACTAACGAAAAGATAAACAGAGCAGGTTAAGAAGGTTAAAATTGGGAACTAGCAAAATTATTGGTCATTATTATTCATTCAAAATATTTTCCCGATTCTGATTGGCTAAAAACACAAGCATAATTCACCATAACCAGCTACTGATGACCAAATTTGGAAGAATTTTGCGTTTAATGAACCGATGACGTCAAAAGTGCAGCCTTCTTGCAGGTTAATGCACCGTTAACCGAGAAGACCTGGGGACGACGTTGAGTTGAGTTGAGGTTGAGTTGAAAACAAGAAGTGGCGGACATTTCACTCGTTTCAAGAGTAAGAACTGGGCGAAATTATAGCTAAAAACATGGCAAGAACAGCAAGAATACAACTCGAACGGCGACATCTGCTACGTGAAGAATATTTGCGGAGCTGAACAACTCTAAACGTGCACCATCTAAGATGAATGTAACATCGATGGAGGTAAGCATGTTTTAGCTTAGTTTTTAAACTAGGAACTATTTTGAATGAATAATAAGACAATTATTGAATTCGGCTTTCGTATTATATGAAGAATTATGGAGATTTCGGAGGGTGTTATCCGCCTTGGCCTACGGCCTCGACGGATAACACCCTCCTCGATCTCCATAATTCTTCATAAGATACTCAGCCTCATTCATTAATTGTTAATTATTGGACTTAGTTTTACAGAGTAAGCTTAAAGCTATTTTACACCCTTTTTAACAGTCGAACCTCCGCTAACGGCCACCTCTTTACAACGGTCACCTCTTAACAATGGCCACTTTCAATTCAATTGTGAATTGTAAATGATATTTTCTTTCCTTGCATTTAATGTATATATATATTTTCTATATAGTTTTTATGTAGTGTCAGCTCGAAGATATTAGCTTGTTAGCTACTCTAAAATTCGAGTTTAAATAAAGTTTTAAGTTATGTTATGTTATGCCACTTTCATATGTCCCAAGGTGGCCGTTGTAGAGAGGTTAAAATGTATTTGATCCTTTTAGAGGTCAACCGCAGCTCTGATAAATCAACTTTGAAACTGAAATTTACAGTCTACAGGGGCAAAAACGCTAAAATTTCCTGACGAATTAAAAGTGAGTTTACTAAAGAAAAAGTTTAAGAACTCGGCTCGATTCACTCTAATATCATGCGAAGCAAGAGCGAGGTGTCGAGGTGGGATCAGAAAAATAATCGTACATGAAACATGTACAGGCTTGCAATAAGCAAGGTCAGGTCCATATTACCCTTTTAAGTTCTTTAACCGGATAAAAAAAAAAAAAAGACTTAAGTAAAACCTGATCTCTTTGATCCACATCTTCACCACCTTCAAGAAGCATTTTAACCGTCTCGCATTGTCCACTAATAGCAGCCTTGTGTAGCGAACCTCTTGACGCCTATTTTTTAATCAGAAGGTGAATAACATATCCATCAGCCTACACACCTTGTACTTATTTTATTGATTACATTAATTTGTTATAACAGATCTAACAGGCCTCTTCTAGGCCTAACTCATGTTACAAACAAACAAACAAACTTGAATTCGAGAAAAATAGGTATTGTTTTTTATGGTTCTCGTTCATCGTACCATCGTATGCCTTGTGTCTGTGTCCTGAGCTCGCAGTAATTGACCCCCGCTGTTGCGGTGTCCCCGCCTGTATTTCTGTGTACTCATGTACGCTATATTGTAGTTAAACTTTTGTAGTGTGACCTATCTTATTGTTTTGGTAAAGTTAATAAATTGTAATGAGAAAAACAATCAACGTAAAGTAATAAACAATTATTGGATGAGGTTTTTGTGATACCTGGAATAATCAAGGTCGAAGTAAGTGTTATCAGCCGAGCCGAAGGCCAGGCTGATAACACTTACCGAGACCTTGATTATTTAGGATATCACAAAAACCAAATCTAATAATTGTTTTATTAAACATTGTTTTGAAGAAAATAACGACAAACACACCGTAGCAAGCTAAGGAGCCGAAATGATATTGCTATTGGAAATCATGCACTGCGCGCGCAACCTACAGATTAGCCAGTTATCTGCTAGCAGATAACTAACTAATCTGCAGGTTGTGCTGATTTCCAAAATTAGCTGTAGGCTCTTAGCCAATGAGAAGGCAGATAATGAGTACAATGTATAATAATAAACAATTATCGGGTGAGGTTTTTGTGATATCCGGAGTAATCAAGGTCGAGGTAAGTATTATCAGCCGAGACGAAGGTCGAGGCTGATAACACTTAACTAGAGTCTAATAATTTCGTTGACTGCGACGATCATTTCTTCATTTTCATTTCATTTCCGCAGTTCATATATGATTTATTTCTTATATCATTAACACTCATTTCTTTCACGGGAACATATGAACCCACAATTGACCTGCTCCCAACGTCAGTGGCTTCATAGCTCAGTTGGTAGAGCATCGCACCGGTAATCGCGAGGTCACGGGTTCAAACCCCGTTGAAGTCCCGATTTTTTTTTTTTTTCAGGCTTCTTTACGATCATTTCTTCATATTCATTTCATTTCCGCAGTTCATATATGATTTATTTCATATATCATTAACAGTCTAATAATTGTTTTATTATACTTTGTTTTGAAGAAAAAAAAGACTAATACATCGCCGCAAGGAACCTGAATTGATATTCTTATTAGAAATCATGTATTGCGCGCGCAACCTGCAGTTTAGTCAGTTATCTGGAGATAACTAACTAATCTGTAGATTGCGCTGATTTCCAAAATTAGCTGTAGGCTTTTAGCCAATTAGAAGACAGATAGTGAGTACAATGTATAATAATGGATTTTACGCGAGAAGTTCAACATTTCTGTAAAGCCGAGGTTTATAAATTCGAGCGCGCAGCACATGGATTGAGCGTGGACACAAATTTCTAGTTCAAATGTCACCTCGAACAATATGGCCACTGTTTAAATTTTCGTGGGCGAACCTACCGGGTTGCCAATCCTCATATCCCGACTTTTACCCAGCCTCATGTAGCCAGCATAAATACTGAAGACACTTATAACACATCAATCCTGTGAGAAGTCCCCTCATGCCGTCCTACTGTAAGGGGGCTCGCCGTTGTATACAGTAAAATCACAATGTTGCCACTAATAATTAAGCCTGTGCTCTGATTTATGACAAAGTCGAATTTCTTCATCTTTCATTGATTAAAGTTTTCATATTTGTTTTCCTCTGATTAAATGGACAACATGCGCACACTACAATATATATACCATTGGACTTACTTTTGCTTTCTCAGCTCTCTCCATATGGGTCAGAACCTGCTTCTTACCCTAGGATAATTAAACAAATTTGTTATTCATTCATAACATTTCGCCGTTTTTGAGCGGCTTTAGTCTTCTGACTAACTCTTCATAACCAGCTGGTACTGACCAAATTTAGAAAGATGCAAGCAATATACCTCAATGTAAAATCACGGGCGGCACTAAAAAATAGTATAAGATTTCGAGAATTCGACAATCCTCGAAAACTAAGAAGAGACTTAGAGTATCCAAAACAAGCGTTTTCCGATTTACTTGACCTCAGTTGCTATTAAACAATAAAAAAGATCCCACCTTAGGAACATCTGAGCTTGTGTCGATCCGTAATGAATCCTCTCTTTCTTGATCTGATTCAGTTGACGGTGAAAAGCCACTGCTGCTTGTTAACACTGCTAACACACAATGAGATAAAGCTAGTTATCCCGTTTGTCAAAACGCATCCTAAACTTTGTGTTCCTGTGGTACAAAGCCACAAATTTTCGAGGTATCGCGGGCGACTGCCGATTAGCCGCCCCTACCGTTTTTTCAGGGGCACCTTGGCCGGGAAACTGGACTCCTCGTGAGTGACGAACGCGGATCCATAATCAATGATTACCTCTAGTCTACCATACTTTCGTCACGTATTTTCAATCTTTCAGGTAATAAGTACAAGCTGTTACAGAATTGTAATCACAATCTCAGAAGCATCAGCCTTATTTTTACTCAAATGCTGGACCCTCAATTATAAAATACTCCATAAGTCTATAACGGCCACCAAACTCTGTCTCTTTTCAGATACAAATAAAGGGGCTTCCCGCGTAGCGTTTGAGTGACGTGTTAAAAGTGGGAAGGTGGTAAGTTAAACGCTGATAATTGCAAATAAAACTCCGACGTTTCGGCAATGCTGCCTTCATCAGGGAAAACATGTGAGTTCGTTATAGCGGAAATTTGAAAATGGGCGCGTAAAAACAAGCGAGTGTGCGCGCGCGCAAGTCACGTGAAAGATAAATCTTGATTGAGTCCACCCGACGCGAGGGTGCCAAAATTATGAATAAAGTGCATCTCCTCGCGTCTTCTTTTGTCTTGTTCGGGTAGACCAGCTCTAATCACGGGTACTTGCATGTCCAGCTGGTGGTCCATTCCCGCAAAATGGGCAGGCACGGGCAGGGTCACTTTCTTCTTAATGACGTCCAACCGGTGCTCCCGAAAACGGTCGCCAAGTATACGGCCTGTCTCTCCTATGTAAACGACCCCATGGCATCTGCGGCGCGAAAGACAATAGATCAGCTGGCTGGTGATGCACGTAAAAAACCGTGAGATTTTGATCTGCCCTTGTGTAGTGGAAATGCGTTCAGAGGAGTTAATGAAGGGACAGGTCTGGCAGTCACGTCTATTATGAGGAAAAGTGCCTATCCGACGTTGGAGAACTTGCGGTAAGGAGCTATGAACGAGAAGATCTTTCAGGTTTTTAGCGCGACGGAAGGCTTTAAGTGGCGGTTTGTCAAATGTGACCTTGGTGCTGCCGTCATCCCGTAGACTTGGCGACCGTTTTCTGGAGCACCGCTTGGACGTCATTAAGAAGAAAGTGGCCCTGCCCGTGCCTGCCCATTTTGCGGGAATGGACCACCAGCTGGAGGACATGCAAGTAGCCGTGATTAGAGCTGGTCTACCCGAACAAGACAAAAGAAGACGCGAGGAGATGCGCTTTATTCATAATTTGGCACCCTCGCGCCGGGTGGACTCAATCAAGATTTCTCTTTCGCGTGACTTGCGCGCGCGCACACTCGCTGGTTTTTACGCGCCCATTTTCAAATTTTAAAATTTTCCGCTATAACGAACTCACATGTTTTCCCTGATGAAGGCACAGGTGGCCCAAGCGTAATATGAGAGTTTGTATGGGAAAATAGAGTCTGAAACTTAGATGATATAAATGAAGTAAAAGGGATAAAAGTTATCAATAAAGTGTAAATATTGTTACCTGGAGTCGTTGTCTTTGTTTTTACGAAGTTTCAGTGCGATTTGAGTACTTTTACATCATCTGACCTGACAGTTTATTTGCAGTTATCAGCGTTTAACTTACCACCTTCCCACTTCTGTCTCTTTTCACCCTGGGCCCAGTTGTTCAAAGGTTGATTAGCGCTAACCTAGGGTTAAATTTCAATCCGAGTTTCCTTTTCTTTCGTTCAAAAGCATTTCCTCGATAATTTTTGCTAGTGGAGACCTTAAGATCGAGGTTTGGTCATTTCACCGCAAACGACAAAGGGTGGTTTGCGGTTAAAGGTTTCACGTTACCCGTCTGCCCATATTTGGGACTTAAGATTCGCGGATGGTAGCTCGCGGCTGCTATGTTTGTTTTCAATCATTCACTTCTATTTTAGCTGAGAAATTGTCTTCAAAATTAAGTTTTTTTGAAATAGAATTCGATAATCAATAACCAAAGAGTTCTAAGAAGTCGTATTTCTTCTCAAACGTGGAATTGTGATGTTTTACGGTGCAAAAAACCGTGCGGTGAATCACTTACCTCTGGAGCGTGGTCTAGCCGAACAAACGTGAACCTCAAACTGCAAACCTGACGGCAAGGCCCTGGTCACGTGACTTCTTGACGTTTATGCCGAAAAACCTCAATTCTTAGGGTGTCTATTCTTTTCATCGTATCCAATCATCAAGTTGTAGACAAAAAGAATAATAATAATTTTAAATTTCGAACTAACCCTGGGTTATCCTAACCCAGTTTTGAACAACCCGGCCCTGGATGGATCTTAAACGGGAAGTTCAATAAAGAATGTGCCCTCGTCAATTTTGACCCATTGTGAGCATATGGTACTAATCAGTTTATTGTAGATTAACTTAAACTGTACGAGGACTGTCAAACTTACGTGACTTTTCCATTAGGATCTTCCTGCAATTCCGGTAGTTTTCATCTTCAATGTTTGTCTTTAACCTGACGTTCTCCAAGTTGAGTCTCTTCCTTATGTCATCAGTCACAAGGTATTTCTCGGCAATGTCATTAAGGTGACCAGACTGATAGTCACTCCACAATTGTTCCAGACTCTCCACGGTGGGACACCGAAATTTTATTTCCAGAGAACCCACACCAACAGATTCCAAGGCCAAGTTGTACGTCTTGCGTATATGTTCAATCAAAGCAGACACTCCATCAGGAGTTGCAACCTTGCGATGCTTGATGTACACTTGTATCTGACGTGATAGAATTTCATGGACTATTTCTTCCTGTTCATTACTCAGGTCCTGGTAAAAGTGCCTGATTACGATGTCTGGAAGTAAAAACAACACCACTGAGGAACGTATAGATCGTTTTCAGTCACGTGGTCAGCAGCTATGCAAATTGCTTGGAATAAAAGAAAGTTCTAACATGTGAGAAGAGCTCAATTCCCACAGGAATTTTTTTGTACACCAACTTGGCCACCATTTATTGTTTTGTAGACAAATATGGCCGCCGTGACGTCACATGAAAACGATCTATTAACCCCGTTCGGGTCTGATAAAACGCTAAAATTCAGAGGCTGGAAGTGGGGTGGGGGGGATAGATCAAACTACTGAAACACCCTATCATAAAAGGCACCTCTGTGAAATCTACCTCACCCTTCAGTCACGTGAGTGGGAAGCAGCAAGAAAAAATTTCCATACCTGGGTCAGAGGAAAATCCTGAAAGTTTACGCTTACGGCTATTTTGAGACTGAGAGTCTGTATTTCTGAATATTTTAGTTTGATGCCCTGATGCAGAATCAACTGTCCTTTCAGGGTTACTACCAAGGGTAGTTTGGAAAACAAGCTGCTCGTCAGAGAGGGATTCTGTTCTTTGGTTGTTGTTTTCTTCCACAGAGGACCCTGTAAAAACAGAGCTTTCGTTATAACAGCAAATTTCTTAAACTTAGGAAATCAGGTTCATGTTCGATGAAAAAATATCTTTGCGATACACATTTCAATTTAAGGCCTAACTCAAAACAGGGATAACTTCGTTGTGGGAAATTTTTGAACAATGTTAAAGCTAATCATCTCTTCTATAATGTTACCGCTTTTAAAAGCCTGTAAACTCATCTATTCAGGGACGCTTTAGCTTCTTGTACTAGTATATACAAATTCAAGAGCATTTAATATTTATGCTTTTAATTTTGCGCGCATTGTGTGTAACATGCGCAAGAATTATTTTAAATAATTATCATCATCATTGTTATTACTATTACTATTAGTATTATAATATTATTATTCTAGATATCGATTACTCTCAGCTCGATTTTGGCACTTAAAGAAGGTAATTTGGAATCATGACGTAATTCTGACATGTCATGACGATATTCAACCGGGCTTGATGGACATTTTAAGTAGTGGCACATGCGCACATTCTTTATGCGGCTATTGTTCAAGCCATCACGCTCGAGCATCCGTCGGCGACTTTTCCGAGACAAGATCCAGGGACCACTTTTCCCGAAAGGAAAACCACGAGGAATAATTAGACCTAGAGAAATACAATTTACATGTACTCCCAAAGATTTATTATCACTGTGAAAGATACATTCACACAGCTGGTATGGATCCAATAATTTTTGATGTTGAGGGAATAAAAAAGCTCCTTCAGAACCTTGACTGCAAAAAGGCGAATGGTCCAGATAATATCCCCCTACTCGACTTATTAAGGATACTGCTTCTGAAATTGCTGATGTAGTAATTTTTCTGTTTAATCAATCTTATAGTTTAAGTCAGCTCCCTGCTGATTGGTGTAAAGCTAATATTGTACCAATTATTAAGAAAGGCGCTAAACAAGAAGACCCTAATAATTACAGACCAGTATCTCTAACTGTAGCCTTGTGTAAAGTGATGGAGCATGTTATCTATCAGAGCATTATGCAGCATTTGGAGCATAATAACATCTTGTATTCCAAACAACATAGTTTACGAAAGAATCATTCTTGTGAAACTCAACTCCTGCTCACTATTGAAGACCTAGCAAAGAATTTGGATGAGGGATCTGAAATTGATCTACAGATTTTCGATTTCAGGAGGCCTTTGACAAGGTACCCCACAAGAGATTACTCTCAAAATTGAATCATTATGGAATTCAGCAAAAGACACTCGCTTGGATTAATTCGTGGCTTACAGAGAGATTTCAGCGTGTCATTGTGGATGGTGAAGCTTCTAGCTTTGTTAACGTCACCTCAGGAGTACCACAGGGTACAATTTTGGGTCCTCTTATGTTCTTACGATTTATAAAATTAATGACATTCATGAGAATTTAGATAGTACCTTGAGACTATATGCTGACGATGAATTATTATACAGATCAATCAACACAATTAATGACAGTGTTATCCTGCAGAACGATATTGACAAATAATATTAGTATCTTGGAGCAAGACATGGCAGATGCAGTTTAATGTGACTAATTGTCATACGATGAGGATATCTAGGAAGAAGGAACCTGTGTTGATGGATTATTACATCGATGGCCAAAGGCTGTCTCTCGTGAAGAACCATCCTTATCTGGGAGTTATGTTATCTAATTACCTAACATGGAATCCTCATGTGGAAAATATTGTGGTCAAAGCAACAAAGTCACTTGGCTTTGTAAGGCGCAATCTTTACCCTTGCTCTGAAAACACAACGCGTTCAGCTTATTTAACCATTGTTAGACCAAATTTGGAGTATGCTACTGCTGTGTGGGATCCATACAGACAAGAACAGATTGATTCAATTGAAGCAGCCCAGCGGCGTGCAGCCAGATTTATCAAAGAGACTATAACAGAACTTCTTCCGTTACAGAAATGCTACAGTCATTAGATTTAGATCTTTTAGAGGATAGACATAAAGCCCATCGATTGAAAAGAATATAATTATTTTATTTAGCAGTTAATAATTCGATTGCACTGCCTACACCTAATTATTTTTTACCTAAACAGCGTTTTACTAGATCATTTTCTAATGATTCATTTATTCAAGCCAACTGCAATCATGATTATTACTTTTATAGTTTCTTTCCAAGGACAATAAGGGACTGGAACTCTCTACCAAGTGGCATTCGTATTAGTACAAATTTTTCATTTTTTAAAGATCACTGTTTCTCAGCCGTTAGAATTTATTGATGGCTGTCATTTATTTATCTTTTTTATTATTATTTACCTTATTTGTATATATGTATACATGTATATTTTATATTTATTAAGAAATAATTTTATTTTTTATTTTTCTATTTCTATTTTTATTTCATTTTTATCCTATTATTGTATTTCTGATATTGTAATTTATTTAATTTATGTTGACTTGATGCGAAAGCGTTGTCAATTAATAAATGTAGATGTAGATTTAGATGTCGATTTTAGGAACGTGTATGGCTATACGACCACCTTTTGAGTGTTCTGAACAGCTTATTTCAACGCGCTTTATATTCCTTTCATTTAAAAAAATTCAGTGATAATTATTAACTTCAAAAAAGGGTAGTACCTCAGTTGCTCAAAGTACTTTTCAGCGACCTGCAGCCAAGAGCTGGAAAGTCGACTAAGAGAAGTTTAGACCATCGCTGTACAACAATAACGTATAACGAATTACATCATCTTACTGTTACTACATGTTCCCGTCCTACAATAAACCACTATTCTAGTGCAATCATACCATAAACCATTTTCCACATCCTCTCCACGAGGGCTTCACATTGCTTCTTCCAACTGTACATCACTCCATAGGAAGTTCTCAATGCTTTAATCTCCTCCAGCCGCATTCGATGCCTGGTACGAACAGCTTCAATTGATTTTGCCCATTCTGCAGGATCATCTGAATATACAATGCATGAATGGCCATGGAGAATGTTCTCTAATGCCTTGGCGAATCCTGACCTACTGCCTACAAGAATGGGTAGGCCTGCAGACAAAGCCTCGAGGGCAGCAAGACCAAATCCCTCTGATTTTGATGGCATGATGGCAAGATCAACTTCGCAAAGTAAATCTTTTATACTGTCTCTGTCTTGTGTAAATGTTCTCACAATCAGCTGTTCTTTAGCGATACCACACTGTAGAAGTCTTTCTCTAACTTCTTCTTCCTTTCCTTCAGGAGCACCAACAAAGATCAGTTGATAAAGCTTCTTTTCCAACCGTGGGTCAGTAAATGCTTTGGCAGCAATGTTGTACCCTTTAAGCTCAAAATCTTCCTTGTCGCCCCGACCAAAAATTAACACTTTAAAATCTGCATTGTTATTGACATCTTGTTCCAAATCCCCAAACTCCCTTTCAAAAAGTCCTGGAGTAAATGAAAGCACCTCCATTTCATTTTTGTAGCGTTGTAAATATGAAGAGTAAAATTCTGTCAGTCGGGGTCCAACAGGCATGACAAGATCAGCACGCTTACAAAGGTCAACCTCAACTTGATGTTTTCTTTCCCCTTTAGAAGTAGGATTAGTGTAGTCTTTGAATTTGCCAAGGTCTTCTGGAGCAGTATGTACCACTTGTACCCACTTACAATTCTTAAATTCTGCACAATTTCGTATTCCTTGGACTTGCCGGCCAAGTTTCTTACCATGCCCAATGATGACATCGATGCTGAGGTCTTTAGGTGGGAAGCTTAACCAGTCAAGGGGATCAAACCCTGTTTGTTCCTTTGCTTCAACAATGGTAATTCCATAGCTTCCAGCTTCTCTTTTCTCCTCATCTTTACAAACTCCCTCGGGAAGTAGCAATGTTACTTCCACTTTGGGATGTTTTGAAAGGTAAATTGCAAGTTCTCTGTTTAATGTTGACAAACCACCCTCTGAGGAATTCCACTCACTTCCCAGAAGGGTAACTTTTAGTATTGACCTGGCAGAAAAATCGTCACTTTGACCTGGTTCTACTCGTAAAGTGCTTGAGGTGGTGATCTGAGGAAAATTTTCAGCCTGCAAAAGACAGATTAATTCACCATCAAAAGCTAACCGAGCCCAAATTTTATTACTTTCATATAATTTATTGTTTGCTGAGAAGTTTCACTGCACCGTATTATACCTGTCGAATGGTTTAATATCCAGTAATGAAGATTCTCAGTTTCTAAGGCTCTCTCGGAATCATGACCGTCTCAAAGTCTTAAATTTGGACACAATGGTTTTAAAGATCGTGTAGTCGTGAACCTAGCTTACGTGACTATATTAACCATCGTATGTCTAACAAAATCCTTATAACTACATATGGTCGAACATGATGACCAGCCAGATCAAATTAAGTCTCCTATTCATGCCGCGGTTATGCCTGCTCTGAGTCTCTAGGCTCTAGTTCAAACAAAAGAAATGTTGTGTTTTTTTATTGCCTAAGTTTAAAGGGAAAAAACAATTAAGTAAACATTTCTTTCTAAATCTTCTGTGGCTACTTAATATATGGTATAAAAAGAAGAATAATTGACAGCTTTGGAGAGGCTTAACGTACTGTATCACTACTTGATTTCTGTTTTTCAAATTCCAATTCTTGATCAGAAGAGGCTGCCATGAGGGATGACTGAAAGCAAAAAACAAACAAACATTAACTTTATTAACAAGAAATTGTAACTGAGTATCGACAGAAGAAGGCTCTAATGTAAAAGATATTACAGACAACCTTAAAGTAAGCCCTGTTTTGATATTTCAGCGGCTCAGCTTATAAATAAAGCAACATAAATTGACGAGATTTTGGGTTGCTCCAATAAAGAGTTCTATTGATACATTTGTGGCTGGGCTAAGCTTGTACAATAGCTGTTTGGTATCTAGCATGCTGCCATAGACAGGAATAGTGAATGGTTACCGGGTTAGAACTAAAAAAACAAGAGGCTGTGAAGATGAATAAAATATGAAATAAATAATTTCAAATGTCTGCAGTAACATTTAAAATAAAAATACAGTGATAATTTTGTCATTTCACTGTTATTGGTACGTTAGGTCATCAACTGGAATGTAATTTAAAAGGAAGTGACAGCTTTTTTAACCGTTTTGGATGAAATGGTATTCCACTTCAGTACAAGTAAAAGAACCTGCTAGTGGTTACTGGCAATGTAAAGAAGGATGTTAACACTTTAATAGTGGGTTCTGTTAACCCATTCGCCCCTGAACCGCCCGTAACCGCCCGTGCAGATCCACGTCCTTTCTACCCTTTGTGACGTCATCCGTTTTAACGATCAAGGACAACTTTGTCCGCTAACTTGTGCAGAGTGAAGAGATCTCTCAAACCATACCAGAATGAGCACAATTCAGTCAAGGACAGCGGAGAAAGAGGCAAAAAATCATGTAACATTGACCTGAAAATCTCCATGGAAATCTTGTTCCATTGCTCACCTACCTTTTCTTTCACCTAATCCTAAGATCCTAAAAGCTTTCCTAAAAACTATTCCCACCAAAATGAAGCCTACTAAATGCCCAGCAAGAGAAAAAAAAATGAGGCAAGAAAAGCGAAAAAAGAGGGGAGGAGAGAAAGCGAAATTTTGCTTTCTTCGCATGCCCGAACTTCGCAAGCTAAAATATATTTGCATCTGGATCAGAAGGCCGTGAAGTGTACGACCTGTAATCTGGTTTGTGGTAAGTTTTAGCTCTTTATAGCACGACAGTGACCAGAAAACGAACTATGTCCACTTACAAAACAAGTATAGGAAGGAAGATTTTCAGAACATAATTTGTTTCAAATTAACCCTTTAAGTCCCAATGGTGACCAACATCAATTTTCTCCCTACAATATTCATACCTTGCCAAGAGATAAGGTAATGAGAATTTATAAAATGATCACTAAAGAGAAAAATGCTTTGATCTTCTATCAAATTCTCTCAACTAATTCTTGAAGGAAATGTATGGAGATCAGTTTGGAAAATTTGTATCTGGATATTGGGGCTTAAAGGATTAAGGAAAAAACAGAACAATATTATAATAAAAATTTAAAAAATTTGAAGACTGTTCTTTTAACAGATTTATTATTGGTGACAAAAATGAAAGATGGTAAATGTTAAGCTCGGTGAAACAAAGGTGAAAATTAATTCATCAGCATGTCACCAGCATGGGACAAAGAAAAAACCTGAGTGTCTGACAGGATTCGAACCTATGACCTCCCAAACACCAGGCGGGCACTCTAGAACTCCATAGCTCAAGTGGATAGAGTGCCTGCCCAGTGTTTTGGAGGTCATAGGTTCGAATCCTCTTGGGGACTCAGATTTTTTCTTTGTCTCACGCTGGTGACATGCTGATTAATTAATTTTCACATTTGTTTCATTGACCTTAAAATTTACCATCTTTCATTCTTTCAACCCACTGAGTGCGACATCGACGTTGCTGATCCTTGCAGTATGAAGAATGCGTGTTAAATATGAACCTAGTATAATGGCCTCACTCTCCATGAGTTCTCCGTAGTTCAAGTGGATAGAGCACCCACCCACAATGAAACAAACAAGACCCAACTAGCCACCAGAGACAAACCAGAGTTGGCTGCATGCACAAGCAATTAGCCAAAGAGTTGAACTGGGGACTACACAGCTAGCAATTAGGCTGGGACAACCCTTAATTAAGGAGCCACATGCTTCCCACTTATAAGCAGACATAGGGATTACTTGTTCCAAAATATATATCAAGTTCATGGCTCCTTCAGTTTGCATCGTCAAGGAACACGTTTTGAAAATTCCAAAACAATAATTTAATATGCTGAATTCAGAAGTTACTTATTGTCTCGTGGAAGCCCGTCACTCTTAGTGGACACTCTCATAAGCGAATGGCTTGACTTTTACTCAGCAAAAACCTGTTGCTTTCACAAAACCTTGTCTCAATTCCCAAACAAACACTGTATGTTTACATTCCCATGCCTTTAGCAGCCCCAGACAGTTTTTGGATTTATTTAAGTTAAGTTATTAGCTTTGTTTTAAGGTCCTTTAAGTGGACAGCAGAAATGAAATCCTATTTGCCTCTAAACCTTGTATTTCAATACATCAACTTCGCAGTGAGTTTATGAATTTATTTTTCACTGTTTCTTTTTTTTTTCACAAACACATCCGGTTACACTTCAACAGCCACAAGACTTCTGCTCCACAGATTTCCTTGTTTTTTGTGTTTTTGTGTTTTTTTGGAATTTTACTTATTAAATAAATTTTTATTATTTATGTATTTTTATTTGGAATACCTTTCATATAAAAAAGAAACAACACAGTGACTTTTTCACTGAGCATTACTTCTTTTAAAAATACAGACAGGGTGCAAAGAAAGTCAGTTTTAGTGCCTGTCATTTGGGCATAGTAAGCATGTACATACTAGCCCACAAGTCATTTCAACTATCCCCAAAACACTTTTCGATTAGCAGGATTGATTTCAATTATCCTTCTGTAATTTGAATTTCCCAAAAAAAACAGCACTGATGCCTGTCGGGCAAGTTAAGAACAGAATTCACCAACCCAATAGCAATATCCACTGGCCCGGGCTATTGGACACAACTTTCTTTGCATTGCATATCATATGTATTTTATTATCCATCACTGACTCAAATCAAACTAATGGGGCAAGATACCAAGCCATCATAGAATTGATCAATTAGAAATTTACACAGAAGCTATAATTAAAACTACAGCTTGACTTCGTTGTGAGATTTTCAAGATTCTTTGTCCCCCTTCCCTACCTGTTCACCTTTCAATAACAAAAGAGCTATTGTCAAGTTGGCTTTTAAACTTCATCATGGTTTACTTGTCATTGGGGGGGGAGGGGGGGGTAAGCTACTTCCCATACATTCTCTTAAATGAAATCCAAACGATGTTCTCACAACTTGCAAAGCGATCACCAAAGGTCTTGCCAGTGGATTTGTGTACTGATCATGTGCATTACATCAAAAACAATAGATCAACGGTCTTGAGAAAAAACAAAAGCATGGCAGTCGAAGGCAGGACTGTTTCTCACTATTATATTTTGGTAATTCGCAAATTTATTGATTTTATGTCGCTTTTCAGACATAGTGTGTGGTTTTCTTTGTCTGTTAAACAATTTCCCTTTGCAGAGTTTGGAATATGCAACATATAGCTCCGTATAGCTGCTAAGAACCGCCGAAGAGTTGTCAGAGCTATCGAGCAGTGTTTTGCTGCAAACCTTAGGAAAGTTAAAGTCGCTCCAAGGTACAGAGCTTTCAGTAGTAGTTGAGATTTGTTTTAGGATCATTTTGAATTTTAACTTTGGATTCAAGGTGTTGACTGATCGAACTAAAGGAAGTGAAATGTTATGAAGTGTTAATTTTTATTCATCAGTTATGATATGTAGAGCAGTAAGCTCATTTTTATAAAGCTCTCTTGAATATACTTGCTTCCGATAAATTTGACACTTGCTCCAGTAATTTTTATCAGCATCAAGTTATCCTTGCCCGGCAAAAACGATGTAACCTATAAATAAATCTATCGAGCGCGTTGTTGTTGGTTAAGATCTAGCACGGTTACGTTTTAGTTTCCCCCGCATTTCAGTACCGAAAGACAAATATGATATGCAAGAAAAACAAAGATGCATGATATGATTTTTTTCAATTTTTTAGGCATTTCTGATTTCCTCTGTTGGTTCGCTTCTTGCTTCTAAAAAGTCTAAAAATATTTACTGTGGGAGAAATACTGTATTATCCGCTGACCACCACGCTGGGTGACCGCTTTGCAAGTTGTGAGAACATCGTTTCTCGGTCCCAGACCTTGTCTCTTCCCCCCCTGGTAAAGCACAATATTAATATTATTATTATCATTGTTTTAAATATTATCAATATTATTGTTATGGTACTGGCCGGGCTGGCCGCGCTTTCCCCAGCTAGCCTGGACAAGCCAGGCCATTCGCTCTGTTATGGTCACAGGAAAAAATAACGGATTCTCATTTTTGGAAATTTTTGGGTATTTAAAGAATACCCATAAAAATCCCAAATTTGGCAAAGTGAGACAAGTCCCAACCAGGGAATTCCCAACCAAGTTCCCTGATTGGGACTTGTCTCACTCTTCCAAATTTGGGATTTTTGTGGGTATTCTTTAAATGCCCAAAAATATCCAAAAATGGGAATCCGTTATTTTTTCCTGTGGGTATTGGCCAGGCTAGCTGCGGCTTCTCCGGATTTTTATCACTTGTCAGCCCAGCCTACAGCTGGGCTAAGTGAGGCCTTTGGACCAGGCTTTGACCCCGGTCTCCCCCGGTCTGACTGGGTTCTTGATGCAAGGGAAACATGAATTTCCATTTGTGTGCCTTTGGAAGTCTGGAACCCTCAGCCCATTAAACACAATGTTCAGGTGCCCTTTGCAAACCAGTTCTACAAAAATTGTACTGCTTACGTCAAAACCCCACCCCAGAACAGCAAGTATCCATACAGTTAACTTTGGAAGTTACCGGCCCTCCCCCTGACTCAATCTGATCAACCCAGGCATGTGATACTACAATCGACATGCATATTACAGAAGAAATGTAGCCCTGTTTTGTCCATTTTGTGAACAGGAGGGCGAAACAACTTATTTTGGAAGGCTTAACAACTATTTTGTTAAACAGACTAAACACAGTTGATCTAGGTCCCTTCCGACTACTACAGCCCCTGGTTTAAAAGAATGACAGCTATTAAAGGCGGAAGTCGAAGATTTCGATTTTTTTTTTGTCAATTGGTAGTCAGCATATAATAACGTTTGTCTTTGACAGTTATACCGGAGACAAGAGCAAATGTTGTTAAATACACGACATCCAGGCCCAGGCATCCAAGCCGAATTTAGCGGCTTCAGAACCAAAAGTGCAATAGTATCGCCTTCTTCAGGTAATTTTCCTATGAGGAATACTTACATTTCAGCTATCAGCTATTCCACTGCGACTTCCTTTCGGTTTTTATCTCCTTTAGTGTCTGAAATCAATAATCAGCTGGTGGATAACAACACCCTGGCGGTTGACGCCATTTTTATTTGAGCCCCAGTGTATGGAATAGTAGCTAGGAATCTGGGAACAAATGTCTGTCGATGACAGAAAAAGTTAAACAAAGGGCAGTGCCGACAAATCCGTACAAAGTGAGCTCTCAGAAAGAGATGTTCAAGGACACATGTTTTATTGATATGAAGACTAAAGGAAACAAAGCGGAAAAAAGGTACACGTGGGAACAACGACTGTAGAGTCTGCAGAGGAAACCGCCAAGGTGGTGCAACTTGTAAATTATTTTGCGTGACTAGCGTGACATTCTAGAAGCCGGTTTGTCAGCGGAGTTTGTTTGTTTTAGGATCTTGTGTAAGCGTTTCTAAAGCGGTATATCTCGGAATCTTTCTATACGGTAATTAGACTATTTGGGAAAGTTCTAGAATTTCATTGTGAAAGCCTCGTTTTCAATGTCACGCAATAATACGGTACAAAAAAATAAAGTGGAAACCGTCTAAAGGAAGAAGCCAAGAAAATGAAATGTTACAAGCTGATGTATAAACAGTTTGTCCAAGTCTCAGGTCTATGTGGCTCACAGTTTCCGAGTTATTTGCCGAAACATTTCACGCACCACTGTAGAGCTTTGTATGGAGACGCCAATATTGTGTACACTGTTTGGTACACAAATATGGCCGCCGGAAATCGACGAAAACATCTTGAGTTCACTTTTTCCATAAAAGCTCTTTCTTTTCACTCGAGAGCAAGCTTACGTGGGCATAAACACATATTCTAACACTAAAAATGGTTAAACTGCTGAAAATCACGAGGAGAGGCTTTCTTTCAACGAGATAGCATAAATGTTGTGGTCGCTCACGCACTTAGCAGGCGTCCTTTGGGGGTCGTTCGTCACGCATTCATTTCTTCCCTATGAATGCGTGACGAACGAACCCCAAAGGACGTCCGGGGCGAGGCTATCACGCAATGTGAAAACTCGGAAGTTTAGATTGCTGTATTTTCGAAGTGAAGCATGCCACGGGACTGGAAACTTGTACAAGGATTCATTTTTTGTTTATCTTCAACCTTGTGTGAATGAGAATTCGTAAAACCTAGCTATTTGGACTTTACAATTTGATGACATCACCGTGAAAACCATCAATACGAGTCGAAGCAAAGTTTTAACTACAGTAGTTAATTTCACAAGCGAAGAGAGTTTGACGCGCGTTTAGACAAGTGAGACGGAAGCAGAGTCTATTTAAGTTGGCGGAGGCCGTGTAAGTTTATCGAGTTGTTTAGGTATATACTTCATGGTGAAAAGGACGAAAAGCCACAAGTTCACCGGTAATATAGACTCTGTGTAATATGTAGCATTGTGTCTTCTCCCTAAAAGCTAGTGGTAGTTACTAGTAGTTACTTGTAGTTACCAGTAGTTATCGGTAGTCACTAGTAGTTACTAGCAGTTGGTGGTAGTTCCTAGTAGTTATCGGTAGTTACTAGTAGTTACTGGCAGTTACTAGTAGTTACTGGTAGTTACTAGTAGTTGGCAGTACTTATTGGTAGTTACTAGTAGTTACTGGTAGTTACTAGTAGTTGCTGGTAGTTGCTAGTAGTTATCGGTAGTTACTAGTAGTTACTGGTAAATACTAGTAGTTGTCGCTAGTTACTAGTAGTTACTAGTAGTTGCTAGTAGTTACCGGTAGTTACTAGTAGTTACTGGTAGTTACTGGTAGTTACTAGTAGTGGTCGGTAGTTACTAGTAGTTACTGGTAGTTGCTAGTAGTTATCGGTAGTTACTAGTAGTTACTGGTAAATACTAGTAGTTGTCGCTAGTTACTAGTAGTTACTAGTAGTTGCTAGTAGTTACCGGTAGTTACTAGTAGTTACTGGTAGTTACTGGTAGTTACTAGTAGTTGTCGGTAGTTACTTGTAGTAACTGGTGGTTGCTAGTAGTTATCAGTAGTTACTAGTAGTTACTGGTAGTTACTGGTAGTTACTAGTAGTTGTCGGTAGTTACTAGACAAGTGGATAATAGTAGTTGATGGTAGTTGTCGGTAGTTACTAGTAGTTACTAGTAGTTACTGGTACTTATTAGTAGTCACTAGTAGTTGTCGGTAGTTACTAGTAGTTGTGGGTAGTTACTAGTAGTTAGTGGTAGTTACTGGTAGTGGTCGGTAGTTACTAGTAGTTACTGGTAGTTGCTAGTAGTTATCGGTAGTTACTAGTAGTTACTGGTAAATACTAGTAGTTGTCGCTAGTTACTAGTAGTTACTAGTAGTTGCTAGTAGTTACCGGTAGTTACTAGTAGTTACTGGTAGTTACTGGTAGTTACTAGTAGCTGTCGGTAGTTACTTGTAGTAACTGGTGGTTGCTAGTAGTTATCAGTAGTTACTAGTAGTTACTGGTAGTTACTAGTAGTTGTCGGTAGTTACTAGTGGATACTAGTAGTTGATGGTAGTTGTCGGTAGTTACTAGTAGTTACTAGTAGTTACTGGTACTTATTAGTAGTCACTAGTAGTTGTCGGTAGTTACTAGTAGTTGTCGGTAGTTACTAGACAAGTGGATACTAGTAATTGATGGTAGTTGTCGGTAGTTACTAGTAGTTACTAGTAGTTACTGGTACTTATTAGTAGTCACTAGTAGTTGTCGGTAGTTACTAGTAGTTGTGGGTAGTTACTAGTAGTTAGTGGTAGTTACTGGTAGTGGTCGGTAGTTACTAGTAGTTACTGGTAGTTGCTAGTAGTTATCGGTAGTTACTAGTAGTTACTGGTAAATACTAGTAGTTGTCGCTAGTTACTAGTAGTTACTAGTAGTTGCTAGTAGTTACCGGTAGTTACTAGTAGTTACTGGTAGTTACTGGTAGTTACTAGTAGTTGTCGGTACTTACTTGTAGTAACTGGTGGTTGCTAGTAGTTATCAGTAGTTACTAGTAGTTACTGGTAGTTACTAGTAGTTGTCGGTAGTTACTAGTGGATACTAGTAGTTGATGGTAGTTGTCGGTAGTTACTAGTAGTTACTAGTAGTTACTGGTACTTATTAGTAGTCACTAGTAGTTGTTGGTAGTTACTAGTAGTTGTGGGTAGTTACCAGTAGTTGGTGGTAAATACCGGTATTTACTGGTATTTACTGGTAGTTGCAGGTAGTTACTAGTAGTTACTGGTAGTTGTCGGTAATTACTAGTAGTTACCAGTAGTTGGTGGTAGTTATTGGTATTTTCTAGTAGTTACTGGTACTTACTGGTAGTTGTCGGTAGTTACTAGTAGTTGGTGGTAGTTACTAGTACTTGCTGGTCGTTGCTAGTAGTTACTAGTAGTTATTGGTAGTAACTAGTAGTTACTGGCAGTTACTAGTAGTTATCAGTAGTTACTAGTAGTTACTGGTAGTCATTAGTAGTTGTCTGTAGTTAATTAACAATTAATGAATGAGGCTGAGTATCTTATCGAATCTTATGAAGAATTATGAAGATCGAGGAGAGTGTTATCCGTCGAGGCCGTAGGCCGAGGCGGATAACACCCTCTTAGATCTTCATAATTCTTCATATGATACCAAAGCCAAATTCAATAATTGTTTTATTATTCATTCCAAATAATACCTAGTTAACAAACATCGCTAAAACATGCTTACCTCCATCGATCCATCGATGTTAAGTTCATCTTCGATAGTGCACGATTAGGTTGTGCAGCTCCGCAAATATTCTCCAAATAGCAGATGTTGCCCTTCGAGTTGTCTTCTTGTTGTTCTTGCCATGTTTTTAGCTATTTTTTCGCCTAGTTCTTACTCTTGAAACGAGTGAAATGTCCGCCATTTTTCAAGTTCACAAGCAAAACAACTCAACCTCGTCCCCAGGTCTTCTCGGTTAACGGTGGCTTAACCTGCGAAAACGCTGCATTTTTGACGTCATTTCCTCGTTAAACACAAAATTCTTCCAAATTTGGTCATCAGTAACTGGTTATGGTGAGTTAAACGTGTGGTTTTAGCTAATCAGAAACGGGAAATATTTTGAATGAATAATAATACTATAGTTATCGGTACTTACTAGAGGTTCCTGGTCGTTACTAGTAGTTGTCGGCAGTTACTAGTAGCTGGTGGTAGTTACTGGAATTTACTAGTAGTTACATAACTAGCAGTTGCTGGTAGTTACTAGTAGTTGCCGGTAATTACTGATTCGACTCGACTGTTTTCATTTGCTTCACCCATTTCTATTAATTGTCGCTGTTGAAGTGAAAGTCTAGAAATATAACAGAACCCTTAATGTCAGGTCTCCCTCGGAAAAACAGTTAGTTATATTTTTCCTCAAGTAATGATGTTTCCCTTGTTCACTTCGTCTCGGGAAACATTAGGACTCTCGGCGTTCTCAATTCCTTTCCTGAAGGTTCCACCAATGTGGCATTAAACCAATGTTAACAGAGGGGGGCATTGGGATTTTCGGTTTTGCGGTTTTGGCTATTTTTTTGGATCGGTTTTTCGGTTTTTGTTGCAAAAGACTTCGGTTTTTCGGTTTTGGTGGTCATTGCGGTTTGCGGATTTTTCGTTTTTTAGCATCTGGTTTTCGGTTTTCGTGAAAAATACTAGCGGTTTTTCGGTTTTGGTACCCGATGTGGTTTTTGGTTTTTAGGAAGGGCAGTGAGGTTCAATAATCGACTGCTTTTTTGAGTATCTGTTTATTACCACATTAAACCATAGAGGAAGTTCCTGCTGCCATGTAAAACTGAAAAGGAGCTAATTGTACCGGTTAGCTTCCTCAGTGTCGACTCAACTCAGTGCAATAGCATGTTAGGCAATCGAGTCTCCAAACTTTCAGGTGTTAGTTATCGAATGGAAATGTTCGATTAGAGATTTTCGATTGAAGTTTCCAGAGCTATAGCTTTTGGCGACTGCAAAATCGCAATTCTAAAGAGGACTTGTGTGCAAATTCTCCTAAGTTAACTAGGCTCCATAACAAGCGGCTTTTCGGAAATTGAGCCGCAAAGTCTGGGCTCGAGAGAGCGGCAGAAACAAAGCCTATGATTTAAGCAGACACAAAAAGATACGAAGGCTTCAGACAAAGTCCACGACATTCACAAATAC